CCCCAAAACCCCAAATCCCCAAAACCCCAAAACCCCAAAACCCCTTTTAATAAGATTAAATTTGAACTAATTATTATCCATAGAACTTTATATATAAAAATGACATGAACTAAAGTGCCATTTGTTCATGCTAAGCTTGCCACCTTAGTCATACTTCTTACTACAATTTTCCTTCTTCTAGTCTCTATCAACCAAGGCTGGGCTGGGCCTGCCCAGCCCAGGAGGAGGGATAGAGAGAGGAAGAGAGGTAGAATGAGTAGTATTAGTAGGTGGAATAGTTGTTAAAGTGTATAGTGAACTATAGAGGCCGTGTGGGGGATGTGGAAGGAGTGGAAGACGTCTTAGTGCAGGGAATGAAGTGAAGAAATTATGGGATTAAGGAAGTGAGGAGAGGTGAGGGTATCAGCTCTGGACTATGCCTCGCAAGTGCATTAATGAATCATGAAAAGAAATATTTCAGGGCTGAACTACCTTACAGAACTTTGCCAAATTCTCCAGATGTAGAATTTACTAATGAAAACACTGATAGCATTCCTGCTTTCCAACCTTGGCTTGAAATAGCTAAATTTGCAAAAAATTTTGACTTATTAATCACAGATGCATTAAAAATATTCTTTCCAATCCAGCCTGTACGAGGAGCGATGATGCATGAATCTCTCACAGAGGACAATGACCTGGAAGAGACTAACTCAGAAGCCTCGAATTACTCAGACTCGTTCATGAATCCTCTCGAATCTTCTAGTGTTGGCTTAGGCCCCAACTCACTTTCAAGCAAAATTATTGATGGAAAGGAGGTAAATTACTCAGAAAAAGAGAGAATCCAGGCCTACACTCAATGGATTCGTCATTTGAACCTAGATCTTCTGACTAAAGAGACTTGTGACTACTTTCCTTATGACATCAAAGTCGATGCTAATCGAGTTGCTACTTTTATCAAAATTAAACCTGTGAGAGCACTCACTGGACATGAAGAGAGAAGGGCCAAGGATGTCCGCCAAACCTCTGTCATGCTAGACCTCAATGCATTAATAGAAGCAGGCTCGGTGATAATGACCGAATTTGAAAATCCAGTTTTTATGGCAATAGTAAATCGTAATATAACTGTCATTAATCTGCACGAAATTTCTGAAATACCAAGCTTGTCAAATCATGAGCAGAAAGACAACCCTAACTCTATTGAAAACAGGGAATATTCTCTTCTTGGAGTCACTGTACCAGATGGCGATGTTTTCCTTAACATGAGCCTGCCTGAATTCTCAGAGACCGAGACCTTTCCCAAAATTTCATCAAATTTCCAAATGTACGGTTCAGAAAAAGAAGATATTCTACTTGGTCATAGAAGTGGAATTCACGGCTTAGAAAATACTAAATATACGAAGATTCTAGAACTTATGACTAAGTCAGAAGGAATCCTAAACTGGATCGATGACTACTCTACTTACATCCTAGTTGGGTTGTTTGTGTACGCAGGATTAGCTTTGCTGCCTTGCATCTACTTTGTCTTTCATAACTCGGATGAGCAAAAGATAAAGATTGTCCAAACTTCTTTGACTAATTCTGGACCAATAAATATACCAAAACTTCTAATGAGGAAGCAAAGTGTTCAGGAAGGGTCTAGAGCAAGAATCAAAGTACCTGAAATTCATAAGGATTGTAAATCATCCAGACCTATACAGCTTCATAAAGACCTGCTCTCGAGCTCATCTAATAGGCTACCAAGGTTGATGACATTAGAGAAGCCAAGTCCATTCGGATTCATTACTAAATAAAGTCAAGAACTATCCTACAAAGGAGAAGATCCTTGAAGAGCCTCCTAGCAGTAGTGTCTCTCCTGCAAGCTCCTTCAAGAAGAAAAGAGACACCTTCGCGACCAGCAAACATAGATATGTTGTTGAGGATTATTATTATTCAGGAAACAAGATTATAGTCAATGAGGTGCTGAAAAAAACCATCACTCTGAAGAACACCCCGATGATGCAGCGGATTTTGTCCACTCATTTTGCTCATAAAACTTCTGAGCTTCCTATAGCACATAAAGCTGTATCTTTCAAAATAAAGAGAGCGATCAATTTGGTACCGATCCAAGAGACTTTTACTGAAGAGAAATCTGGCCTTAAGAAACATCATAAATATAAATTGAGAACTATGACTAAGAAGAAGAGCCTGAATGAGGACAATGAGTATTTTGATGTCCAAACTATAAACAACCCGCCCAAACCTGAAAGTGGGAATGAGATTGACAAGGAATTGAGCCAAACTTTGAAGAGCAAGGTCAATACCTCTCTGAATGAATATGATAAGCAATTTATTCACAGTGATTCTCCTATTAAAGGATTTGGAGGAAGCTTCAAACAGCCTTTAGCTAGGGTAATCAAATACCAAAAGAAAGATTTTTTAATTAACGAGATACAAGAAAGATGAGTTGTGCAAAATTCTGATGAGATCGCCCACGAAGACAAACTTATCAATGAGCTAAGAAATTATACACCAAGGAAGAAGCCTAATAAGATAGCAGGACATCAAAGCTCAACATTAATCGAAGCTAAGCTTAATAGAGCTAAGAGTTCTGAGAATGGAAAAGTCATGGAAATCAGCAACCCTCAAAATGCCCAGAATTTCCATAGCTCTCTTGGATGCACTCACTATGAGAAGAGGAAGGAGCCAATCTATCCGTCTCATATCCAGGAAGCCGAGGCAACTATTTCAGATTGAAGAAATCTTTCAAAGATCATATTTGAGGACCAAGAAGAAGACAAAGACATCATAAATGAACTTGAATCCTTAAGTGTCTCTGAAGAAGATACTCAATCACAAATATTTAATGAGGAAGGAAAATATCAACTAAATAATCAAAATATCTGAATTGAAGACTTTGTGCCCAAAACTTCTCCGCTCTACAAGCACTTGGAATGCGGGAAGACTAGCTCTTTGATTTATATGGACTCACTTGGCAAAGGAGGGTTTGGGTCAGTGGTAAAAGCCAAACATATCCTTGATAACAATATATATGCGATTAAATAAGATAAAACTGCATCTAGGAATAGACCAGGACATCAGAGAGCACAAAGTGTTCAGAGAAGTCCAAGCAATGACTATAGTCAACCACCCTAATGTTGTAAGGTACTACACTAGCTGGCTAGAGTTGGCTCCTCAAGAAGAACAACAGCTGGAAAGGAAGAAGATGCTCAAAAGATATAGGAAATGTCATCATCCCTTTCTGTCACATGTGACGAAAAAGGAGAAGTCGAGAAATGAAGAAATTCAAGAAACTGATGAGAATAACTCAACTTCTAGTCCGTATGGGCGTAAGCCTAGCTCAGACAGTGATTCCGATAGTGGTATCCAATGGGAAGAAAATAATGAGAGCTCTGAATTTGCTCATGAAAAAGATATTTTCTCTCAACCTGAATCTGAGCAACCTCTTAGCAAAGCTAATGGTAAGAAAGGAGAATTTTATTCTTCTACAAACAAGGCTTCCATCCCTCAGAAATGACTGTATGATGATTCAGAAATCTCTTCAGATGATGCTTCAAGCAATGAATCCTCTCTTTCACTAGAAAGCATAGCTGACCTCACGACTTGCTTCAAGTGCATCGAGCTGAAGAAGGATTTTGTAACCTGAAATCTGAGAATTCAGATGGAAATATGTCTTGGGCATTCATTAAAAGAATTTCTAACTTCCAGAAACAACAGTGGCCAAGATATTGACAGAAAGGTGAATCTGAGATTCTTCAAACAAATCACTGAAGGAATCAGGCATGTACATCAGCAAGGCATAATTCACCGAGACCTCAAGCCAGCAAATGTGTTTATTTCCAACACTCAAGAAATCAAGATCGGTGACTTTGGATTGGCTAGAGCCTTCGATCCTGATTCTTCCAAAGGGTTTGCCAATATGATCTCAAGCAAGAGATTTTCGATGAAAAAGATAAATTTCCAAAAATCAAGCCTCTCCTTGAAGGTTGGGACACCTATGTACCTCAGCCCTGAGCAAGAAGAGGGAAAAGACTATGATGAGAAGGTAGATGTCTTCGCAATAGGCCTCATCCTGTTTGAGTTGTGCAACAAACTAGTAACTAACCATCAAAAGATCGAAGGTTTTCAGAACTTGAAGAAAGGAATCTTACCCTCAGAATTGATGAAGAATATGGCACCTGAGTCCCAACTACTACTCAAACTAACGAATGCAGATCCTGCTCTTAGACCTTCAGTCAGAGAGATTCTGAGATGTCAGGAGTATAAGCAATGGAGGCAGGAGGTATGTGGACACAGTTCCTTCGATGAACTTGACTTTGCTTAATGTCTAAAAATAGGCCAAATCGCCACCAATACTTGTATCATCTAAGTTCAATCTTGGCTAAATCAAAAGGGGTTTTGGGGTTTTGGGGTTTTGGGGTTTTGGGGTTTTGGGG